TCTACTTGGTGTCTTAATGATGGAATTTTGAGGCATTACAGTTCCATCATAATCCAACAAAATTGCCCTTCGTTTAGCCTTTAAGTAATCTGATACAATATCATCTATTGAAAGCTTCCTGAAATTCGGATCAAGACTCACAACTCTAAACCCAAACCCTAAACCGATTCCCCAACATCTTTTCCTAAAATGATCTGCACAACTTCTTTCCATATCTTGCAAGAAGCTTCTAGACCAATAAGCCACATCATGTGCACTCACATAACAATAATGTTTCTCATGTCTCATTTGTTTCTCAGGTTCTCCCATTGATATAGCTTCATTCATTGCTTCAACAGTTGCTTCAACATTCCATGGATTGATACGAATTGCACCACTCAAAGAAGGAGAACACCCCACAAACTCCAACACCACCAACATGCTTTTCTTGGGACCAAAATCGGAATCGGAATCAGAATTGGGAATTCCTTCTCGGCATACGATGTATTCATATGGAGTTAAATTCATTCCATCTCTTACAGCTGTCACCACTACACATTCAGCTATGCTGTAGTAAGCAACCCTTTCACCAACTGACAATGGTTTGTCTATGTAAATAATTGGTTGATACCCAGGTTTACCGAATTCTTCATTTATACGTTTACAACTTTCTTGTATTTCAACTTGTATTTCATCCAAATCTATGCCACCTTTACCTCTAGTTGGATTAGCAATTTGGATAAGAACAACAGTTCCTTGCCAAGATGGATGTAGTTTTAGCATTTGTTCCATTGCTAAGAGCTTCAGATTGATGCCTTTGAAGATGTCCATGTCATCAACTCCAAGCAACACGGTTTTTCCTTCAAATTGTTGCTTGAGTTCTTTGGTTCTTGATTCTTTATCAGCAAGTTTCATCACGGATTCTATTTGTCCCATGTGGATTCCAACTGACATTATCTTGATTCTGATTGTTCTTCCGTAGTAATCTAATCCTATATACCCTCTTTTTGATTGGTATTCCAATCCAAACATCCGACTACAACATGAAAGGAAATGACGGGCGTAATCAAAGGTGTGGAATCCGATTAGGTCAGAATTGAGTAGAGCTTTTAGGATTTCTTCTCTAACAGGAAGTGTTCTGTAAATTTCGGAAGAAGGGAATGGGCTATGGAGGAAGAACCCCATTCTTAAACGATTAAATCGTCTTCTCAAGAAAGTAGGTAACACCATTAGATGATAATCATGGATCCAAACAAAATCATCTTCGGGATTTATGATTTCGATTACTTTCTGGGAAAACAATTTGTTTGCAGAAACATAGGCTTCCCACATAGATCGATCAAATCTACCTCCATGATCAGCTGAAATTGGTAACATGTAGTGAAAAAGAGGCCACAACTGCTTCTTGCAAAAACCAGTATAGAACTTTTCAATGAGGCTAGGAGGAAGAAAAGTTGGGACACAACTGAATCTTTCCAACAAGCGTTGAGCAACATCATCTTGTTCAATGCCATCAACATCGACATTTAAGGAGCCAACATATAGAACTTCCATATCATCAGGAAAACCATCTTTGAGTCGTAGAAGGAGAGAGTCGTCATCCCAAGTAAAACTCCAACTTTTATTATCAGGTCTTCTTTTGGCTTTCAGAGGCAATTGATTTGCAACTATAATGATTCTATCCATCGAAAGTGAAGAAGCGTTATCAGATGCAACACTGCTTGCCGGCTCATCGTCAAATTCGTAGATACTTCCAGGAACTGTCATAATCCTTGGCAGCTTTCGCTTGTCCCTCTCTCGCCCCATTACAGGGAAATTACCAGAAGTCAATTCTAGAAGATTAGTATATGACTTCGACTGCATCTTTATCTTTCTACCCCTAATGATTCCAACCTAAAAACAAAAACTTCTTGGAAACCTCCCAATAGGGTAAATTCCAATTATTATCTGCCAGGAAAAAGAAAATCTCGCTTTACATATAAACAAATGAATTAACATTGTTAGGAAAACAGTTACATGCAATCGACATTATACAATACAACAAGTTTTTGAAGAAACAAAAACGAGCTAAATCAACAAGATCTTTAGATCATACAAACTCCAAAATGACAATTAACACTGTCTCGATGCGAAATCATTTGAAATCAATCATATTAAATTGGGCTATGAAACTTACCTGCAGTAATTTGAGAAGTTTCCGACACTTTATATTATGATAGTCATGAACAAATTTGAGATCGAAGATCAGGGTATGTGTCTGAGAGAAGTTTGAAGGTGATAGAATTTCTAGGATTCGTTCATTTATGGGTGTAATTTCAAAAATAGTAATAACAATAATACCATAATACCATGTATATGATGTACATTAAATACGTACAAATAAAGACATGGATAAGGTCCTTCACTCCCGTCGTTATGAAAATATATTAATTTAAAAGTTGTCTTAAAATAACATTATCATGATTATTGTGTACAACAAAGGATAAACCTATCAATTTTATCAGAAAAACTTTGTAAGACTGTAATTATCTTTTATATGACATTGACTCGTCATGAATGAAACAATCATATGATGAATAATAAAAAAAAGAACAGTAATATATATTTTAATTCAATAAAAAAATTTTCTTATATCACACATAACTTGGATTTTTTTTTATATTTTTTTTTGGTTAGTGGAATTATTATGAGGAATCATCAAATTGTAATAATAATTTGATTGTGAACTACTTGTTATTGCCGTGTTTTTAAACATGTAACTTTTTTAGATTTACCCCTAAATTTGGAGAAGCTTGCTAATTTAGGTTTTAGCCGGTTTTAGTCACAATTTGGATGACCACCCCCTTCTAACTAATTCTAAAATAGTTAGAATGTAAATGAAACATATCCTTCACTCTCGCTTTCAGCATTTCCATAAGAGGGGATCGATCAAGTTGATTGAGTTGTCCTCTCAAAAGAAAAAACTTGCTAGATCACATCACATCGCAGTGCTTACACCTCTCGCCTATCGAAGTTTGGTTTGAAAACCTCGTTTGAGAACTTGTAAAGAGAAGGATTTCCTGCGGGACAATAGTACTTCAATACCAATTTAGCTGGAAAGGTGAAATGAACAGAAATTTTGGGAGAGTGTCTCAACTTGAGAGCTCTTAAGGTGGACGAAGCCATTGGAACGTTGTGGTAGACGGATGACAGGACCATCGAGATGATTCCAAACAACTAAGGGTACCACCAAAATTGAATTTAAGCGGGTAGGACAACCCACATATTTCCTTCTCATTTTTCCCGCACTTTATGTCATTCTTTACTCCTTTTGACCGTTAATATATATATATATATATATATATATATATATATATATATATATATATATATATATATATATAT